GAGTTTTTGTTTGTTGGTTTTGTTGGCGAGAAACGTGGAGAAAGATAGAGAGAGAGGATAAATTTAGTGGGAGAGAAAGCGAGATATAAAGGAATTGTGATTGTGCGTGTGGACGTTACGCATATTTCTTGCTTTTAAAGCTAATCAAATTATCCAACACAACGCAACAACAACGGTCTCCTTATTATTTCCTTTTCCTTCTCTATTTATGTTTCTCTTGATTGGCTCAATTATTTCCTTAATTAACCTATTTGACTATGACTTTATCTAATTATTGGGCCTAAAGGCCCATTAGTGAACTGGAAAGTAAAATTTCCATTTTTTTTAAGACATATTTCCTTTTCCTCTTTAGGCGGTGGTGGTCATAGAACCAGGTCTATATATATGTGTAGCGACTCTGTTTCTTTTTTTCCAGAGACCTACGAATCCTTCGGCTGCGATCTCTAGGGTTGTTTCCTTTTCGTAGCCGCTGGATTGTTACCAATTAGGGTAGGTTTCGTCACTTTTGTTTTCGATTTAGGGTTGATCGTTAACAAATAAAAATTGGTGGTGCATGATGATATTCGGATCTAAATCGGTGTATACAAATGCCTCGGCTCGGGAAAAGAATGGTGGTGGTGCATCCGATTTGGTCCTGAATCGTTTAATACAAATCCCTCAGTTGTCCCGGTAAGAGAATGATGGTGGTGCATAATAATTGGTCCCGAATTTTCAAATTCTGTTGCCTCTGTTAAAAAAAACCTTATTGGGAAAGACCGAAAGAGTGTGGTGCATGATATACGTTGGTCCGAGATTGTTCAAAAGTTGCCTTGGTTAAAAACCAGATCGGTATAAAAAAGTCTCGGTTACAAAAAAAATTGGTGGTAGTGCATACTATATGGTCCCGATTCTATTCAAATGCCTCGGATAAAAACCCATTCTAAACTTATCTCGGTAAGCTTATGATTGGGAAAAGAGTGTGGTGCATGATAAAACTTAGTCCCGATTCTATTCAAATGCCTCTGTTAAAAACCCATTCTAAGTTTATCTCGGTAAGCTTATGATTGGGAAAAGAGTATGGTGCATGATACTTGTTGGTCCCTTTTCTAATCAAATGCCTCGGTTAAAAACCCATTCTAAGCTTATCTTGGTAAGCTTATGATTGGGGAATGAGTGTGGTCCCTGATACTTAGTCCCTTTTGCTATTCAAATGCCTCGGTTAAAGAAACCCATTCTTGCTTATCACAATAAGCTTATGATTGGGAAAAGAGTGTGGTGCATGATAATACTTAGTCCCGATTCTATTCAAATGCCTCTGTTAAAAACCCAATTCTAAGCTTATCTCGGTAAGTTTGTGATTGGGAAAAGAGTGTGGTGCATGATACTTGTTGGTCCCTTTTCTAATCAAATGCCTCGGTTAAAAACCCATTCTAAGCTTATCTTGGTAAGCTTATGATTGGGGAATGAGTGTGGTCCCTGATACTTAGTCCCTTTTGCTATTCAAATGCCTCGGTTAAAGAAACCCATTCTTGCTTATCACAATAAGCTTATGATTGGGAAAAGAGTGTGGTGCATGATAATACTTAGTCCCGATTCTATTCAAATGCCTCGGTTAAAAACCCAATTCTAAGCTTATCTCGGTAAGTTTGTGATTGGGAAAAGAGTGTGGTGCATGATAATACTTAGTCCCGATTCTATTCAAATGCCTCTGTTAATAACCCAATTCTAAGCTTATCTCGGTAAGTTTGTGATTGGGAAAAGAGTGTGGTGCATGATACTTGGTCCCGATTCTATTCAAATGCCTCGGTCAAAAACCCATTATAAGCTTATAATTGTGATAAGCTTATGATTGGGAAAGAGTTGTGGTGCATGATACTTGGTCCCAGTCCCAGTTTGTTCTAACAATTGCCTTACTTAAACAGGCTTATAAATGATTAAGGGTATAGTGCATGATACTCTGTCCCGGATTCTCTATTTGAATGCCTTGGTTAAAAGGTAAAAAAAACAATTGGAAGCTAATCTTAATAAGCATGGTAATGTGATAAGAGTGTGGTGCATGATAGTCGGTCCCGGTTTATCAATACAAATGCCTCGGTTCAAATCCCAATTGTAAGCTAAGCTTATAAATGGGAAAGAGTATGGTTGGTTCATGATACTAGGTCCGGATTGGGAAAGAGTATGGTTGGTTCTCTTGATAATAGGTCCGGATTACAAATGCCTCGGTAAAAACCCCATAAGCTAATCATAATAAGCTTATGATTGGAAAGAGTGTGGTGCATGATACTTGGTCCCATGTCCCAGATTGTTCTAAAAATTACATTGGTTAAAAACCACATTGCAAGAAGCTAATGTTAATAAGCTTTTACACATGAAAATGAGTATGGGGCATGATACTAGATCCCTGATTCTCTAGTCAAATGCCTTGGTTAAGCTTGGGAATGTGAAAGAGTGTGGTGCATGATACTTGGTCCCGGATTGTCAGTACAAATGCCTCGGTTAAAAAAACATGTTGTAAGCTAATCATAACAAGCTTATGATTGTAAAGAGTGTGGTGCATGATACTTGGTCCCAGTCCCATATTGTTCAAACAATTGCCTTGGTTAAAAACCATATTGCAAGCTAATATCAATAAGCTTTTATAAATGAGACAGAGTATATATGGTGCATAATACTAGGCCCCGGATTCTCTAATCAAATTCCTTGGCTAAACAGTAAAAACCCATTGGAAGCTATCTTAAAGAGCTTGGGAATAGGAAAGAGTGTGGTGCATGATACTTGGTCCCGGATTGTCCGTACAAATCCCTCGGTTAAAAAATACCCATTGTAAGCTAATCATATGAACGGGAACTGGTATGGTGCATGATACTTGATTCCTGATCCTCTATTCAAGTGCCTCAGTTAAAAGAACGCATCCCAAGCCAATAGGTGAATGCTGTTGCGTGGCACTTTGTCCCAAATTGTCTATTCAAAGGGCACGACTCCGATAAAGAAACCATTACAAGTTCATCAAGAGCTTATGAATGGGAAGGTGTAGATGGTGGTGCATGATATTTGGTCCCGAGAAGATTATAAAATTGCCTCAGATCATCAAGCACTGATGGACTAGGACAAAGATGCATGATACTCTGTTCCAAATGTCCATAAAAATGCCTCATTGGTTAAAAATTCCATACTGTCAAGCTGATTAATGGAAAAAGGGTGGATGGTGGTGCATGATACTTGGTCCCGAACTGCATGTCTATAAGCATCAGGTTCGGCTAAAAATCAATCATAAGCTCATTTGAGGTTTATGAGTGGTGGTGCATGATAGGAACATGTTTCGTCTTGATTTATCAAATGCCTCGACTCGGCTTAAAGTCCTTATACTCATAGGGAGCTTATGAATGGTAAATGGTGGTGCATGATTGGAACTATGTCCTGTGTTCATTTATACAAATGTCTCGACTCGGTGAAAAACTCGTGATAAGCTAAGCGAAATTAAGAATGAGAGAAAGGTGGATGGTGGTGCATGATAACTAGTGGAGAAAGGGGTTATTTGATAATAATCAGCTATAACACATCACAAGTAATTGGAGACTAATGCGTGAGAAAAGGGTTTAAACCAATTCTTTTGGTAGAATTCAAATGGTCTTAATTCTAGATGGTGTTGTCAACATGTTAATCTTAATCTCTAAAACTATTTAGAATTTGCATGCTACTTTCATATTTTGTAAAAAGAGACTGGTTTTCTAAAAATGGTTGTTATATTGTGCAGGTACTAAAGATATTTGATCTTGGAGCAACAGAAATACGAGAAGTTTCTTCCTCGTAGTGGTTTATTGATCCATGTAAGATTGATCATGGTGAGTAATTGTTAGTACATATATTCTATAAGAGGTGTATAGTGGATTAAAGAACCTAATTGATGTGTGTTCTTTAAAAAGCACAACATAACATGAAGATTATCTGATTGGTGTTGCTGAATTTTCTTTTGCAGGACTCTCCCCTATGGATCCATTCCTTCAGAAGTGTCTGATATTTCCATAATTCCTTAATTATTTCATTTGTTTTTGTGGTTGATCAGGTGATTTGATTATAAAATGTAGAGAATCTTACGGGACTGAAAAAGCATGAAAACACAGGTTTGGTATCGCCTCTGGAGAATCTTGATGAAACATGAAGATTAAGTTTTGATCTTGAAGCAACAAGATGGTTTATATGCAGTCAAAACAGAAGTGAATAATTCATCAATGCTCTGTCTTCTTCTTCTTACAGTTGATGCAATCGTAAAAGGACATTACGTTATGCATACAGTTGAGTTTGAAGACATCAGTTGAATCTAATCTGACACGAAAACAGAGAAATTGAAAACAATTACAGAGCAAAATCTTGATATATATTGCTCGGTTTAGTTCCTCAAGAACCTAGTGTGGTTCCATTTGCTTTGTCAGGTTTCCAACATGTATTGGCCATGTTCATCTCTACTACAACCGGATAGAAGTTTCTTCAGATTATCTCTGCATTGATGGTGATATACTTCAAGAAAATAGATATCCAAGAATCACTCTCTCTTCTTCTTCTTCTTCATCTGACAATTGCAGGTTTCTGAATAAGAGCAAAGTTGGTGTAAACAACGATGGTGAAAGTATAGTCTGCTTCTCTTTTCTTAAGTTACTCGCAAAGATCTTAGAAGCCAAATATGCACCAATCACTGCAACAAAGAAAAAATGCACAAAGAGTAGTTGAAAGCAGAGCGAATCTCCGGAATCAGAGGAGAATAACTCGTGCTTACGTGGACTGATATTAAGTTATTGGGCTTAATACGTAACATTTAAGGCCCAAACTAATGTGAGATCTGAATTTATGCAGAAGCGTCCTCACATTTTATTAATTTGCGCGATTATAACCCCATAACTTCTAGTGATCGAATTATGCCCCACTATCAAAAAAGCAAGTCTACAAAAGTTCTATAGCTGTTCTCACTTTCAAGTCATCATCGTCTCTCTCGTCTCTATTCTTGCTTTTCGCGCTTCCCTCTCTACGTGACTTTCGATTTCTTCTTCAGATCCGCCGAGTCTTCTTTTTGTGAAATCTCTTCTAGAATCTCCACATTCAATTACACTTCTCTATTGATCGATATCGCAAACCCTAGATTCGGTGATCTTGAATCTGCATCTAATCCATGGCCTCTTCACCTGGTAATACAAGCCCTCACAATCCTCCTCCGTTCGATCTCAGTACTATCTTCAAACCCTCATCGAACCCTTATCCAGCGCCGCCGGCGTCTTATCCTCCGCCTACAGGTCCTTTTCTTAACAACCAATACAATCAGCAACTCTACGCGCCGCCGGGTATCGCCGCCCAACTATCTCCGGTGAATCAAACGCAACAGGATGTGTCTTCCTCTTCCTCCGCTACTAACTTGCAACCACAGAGGACGCTCTCTTATCCCACGCCACCTCTGAATCCCCAATCTCCCCGTGTCAATCACAATCCGGGAACGCACATCCTCGCTCTCCTCAACAATAACAACAACGGAGGCGCCGTGGCTAACCAGGAGCCGTCGCATCAGCTCCCGGTAGTGAATCACAACGAGAACGCTCGGCATTTTCCTGGCGGTTCGGGTCCTATTCGTGTTCCAAGCGGTAAAATGCCCAAGGGAAGGCGATTGGTTGGTGAACATGCGGTGTACGATGTGGATGTGAGGTTACAAGGTGAGATTCAGCCGCAGCTGGAGGTGACTCCGATTACCAAATACGGGTCGGATCCTCAGCTAGTAGTCGGTAGGCAAATCGCCGTGAACAAGGTCTACATTTGCTATGGATTGAAAGGAGGAAACATAAGGGTTCTCAATATCAACACAGCATTAAGGTCTCTGTTCCGGGGACATTCTCAGGTTGTTTCTTCAACTCTGTTTCTTACTTACTTATTCAAGTATCCATCTGGTTTGATCATTGTTCTAACTACGTTTTTGTGTCCAGAGAGTGACGGACATGGCTTTCTTTGCCGAAGATGTTCATCTCTTGGCTAGGTAATGTTCTGGAACTAAAAGCGTCTTCTACTTTGTGGTTTACATTTTTTTCATACCGTCTACTTTTCTATTTCCTTATAACAGTGTTAGTCTAGATGGAAAAGTTTTCGTGTGGAAAATTTCCGAAGGATCTGAGGGAGATGATCAACCCGAGATAACTGGAAAGATCGTTCTTGCTCTTCAGATACTAGGAGAGGAAGACACCAAACATCCACGTGTTTGTTGGCACTGCCACAAACAGGTAGTTCAACATATTTCTTTTGCTACGGGAAGTTTCATAAGATTTTTCTTACAACAAGCTTCTGATTGCGTAAAATCTACTTTTTCAGGAAATTTTGGTAGTTTCAATTGGTAAACATGTGCTGCGAATTGATACCACAAAAGTTGGCAGAGGTGAAGTATTCTCTGCTGAGGCACCACTCCAGTGTCCCCTCGATAAACTGATCGATGGTGTTCAGATCGTGGGTAAGCATGATGGAGAAGTTACTGATTTGTCAATGTGCCAATGGATGACCACGCGCCTGGTTTCTTCTTCAGTTGATGGCACGGTTTGTGTTTGTTCTTATCGTTTTCTTCACTAGACTCTTCCAATTATCATTTACTCATTGTTCATAATTTTTCTGAAATTAAATATATCTAAAGAACTAAAATTTAAACTGTTTTCGTTGTTAACTGGGTGTAACGATTACAATTTAATCGATTGAATCTTGTCAGCGTTAGTTTGGTTATGCTAGCTCATCCTAAATTGAAGTGATTTTCTAAATTTCGTCTTATACTTGCACTGTGCACGTTCTCTTCACAACCAGGACAAATTTTGCAACAGCTAGTATTTTTGTGTGTGAGGCTTACTTCTTCTTAATACCAACAGGTCAAGATATGGCAAGATCGTAAGGCACAACCACTTGTAGTTTTGAGACCTCATGATGGACATCCAGTCAATTCAGCCACATTTGTAACATCCCCGGAAAGACCTGATCACATCATACTTATCACGGGGGTTAGTTTGCTCAAATCAGTATTACTTACTTTTCTCATTGCTATCTAATGTTATTTGGCCCTGCTGTGTTGAGTTTACATTTTACAATTGTAGCTTTTGTTACTGCTAAGTTGCTAACGCATACAGTGTTGGCAATGTTCTTCTTGTAGGGCCCTCTAAATCGAGAAATGAAAATTTGGGTCTCAGCTGGGGAAGAAGGGTGGCTTCTACCAGCTGATACTGAATCATGGAGGTGTACCCAGACACTTGATTTGAAAAGTTCATCTGAGCCACGAGCTGAAAAGGCATTTTTCAACCAAGTCATAGTATTGCCTGAAGCAGGCCTGCTTTTACTTGCAAATGCGAGAAGGAACGCCATATATTCCGTGCATTTGGACTATGGCTCTTCTCCAGTTGATACGCGGATGGATTACCTGTCAGAGTTTACAGTAACTATGCCTATATTGAGTTTTATTGGGACAAATGATCATCCAGAAGAACCAATTGTTAAGGTTTATTGTGTTCAGACTCTAGCAATCCAGCAGTATACAGTAGACTTATGCTTGTGCACGCCACCTCCTAGAGAGAATGTGGGTTTTGAGAAGTCAGATTCTAGTGTGTCACGGGAGGCAAACCTTGTTGAAAGCACGTCAGAACCATCTGGAATTAAGCCTACCGAATTACCTTCAGCTGATTCAGTGCCTAAACCATCTATTTTAGTGAATAGATCGGAAAGTGCTGATACGCTGAGTTTTCCAGCGGGTTCTGCATCAGCAGAGATCACACCACCAGCAATTGTTCCACCCAACGGTGATCCTAAATCTTCTGGGATGCCTTCTGAGACCAGTGATACAGGTTCTGCGTATGCTCCTTCACCTCAACTTTCTCTAAGTCCCAGACTATCAAGTAAACTTTCTGGCTATCACACTCCTGTAGAAGCGATTGAGCAAGTACTACCACGTCATGAGCTTGGTGGGAAAACAAGTTCTGCTGATTATTCTTATGATAGGCAAATTGATGATGTTGGAGAAAGAAATTTGGATGTGTCTTCTGTTGAGGAAAACTGTAAAAGAAAGGACACGAATGTTACACCTGATGATGATTTGTCTGGAATTCGAAGCCCGTCAGCTTTTTTCAAACACCCCACTCATCTCGTAACTCCTTCAGAGATATTGATGGGCGTTTCGTCCACTGAAGCCTCCATTGCTACTGAAGACAAGAGAGATAGAGATGCAAATATTCAGGATGTGAATAATGATGCAAGAGGCTTAGAAGTTGAGGTGAAAGAAGTAGGCGAAGCACGGACTTCGCAGAATGGTGAAATCAACTATCATGAAACAACTGAGAATCACACTTCAGAAAGTAGAGAAAATATCTTCTGCTCACAGGCTTCAAATCTCAGCACTGAGATGGCAAGAGACCGTCATCCTATTACAGAGGACACTGTCATTTCAGGGGACTCTATGACTTATGTACAACCTTTTCAAGCTGGGGATGAAAGGGGTCTTGACTCAAGAGATGTGTCTGCAAAGCTTCCTGAGTCGGGTTCATCTAGTGGGCCTCTACAGTCGCCAGCTACGACTAGCAAAGGGAAGAAGCAGAAGGCCAAAAATTCACAGGGCCCCGGTTTGTCATCTACATCCTCAAATGTTGCTAATCTGGCTGACTCCTTCAATGATCAATGTCATCCCATGACAGATTCACTTCCTCAGTTGTTAGCAATGCAAGAAACGATGAATCAGGTGACAAATTTATCTTGAATCTATTAAAACTTTCTCTCTTTAACAATATCTGTTTTTATACACTTGCATCATTTCACTGAGATACACACTATTAAGCTTGGTGTTACCTTGATTTTGCACATATGAGTTCCTTTATTACATTTGTTTTGAAACGAAAATCAGATTTGGTATATAACTGGCATTTATCGATGATAAGTTATTGCTTTTCATACCTTGGTAATTTGTTGTTGTTTTATTTGTTGACCTGAAACATTATTTCCCTTCCAGATAATGGCTTCGCAGAAGGAGATGCAGAGACAACTATCAAATGCTGTCACTGGCCCTATCGTAAAAGAAGGTAAAAAACTAGAAGTGGCCTTAGGGAGAATGATTGAGAAATCCAGCAAGTCAAATGCTGATGCTCTATGGGCCCGCTTCCAAGAGGAGGCTGTTAAGAATGAAAAGGCATTACGTGACCATGGCCAGCAAATTGTGAATGCAACGACAAACTTCATGAGCAAGGAGTTAAATGCCATGTTTGAGAAAACGATGAAAAAGGAATTTGCTATAGTTGGTCCAACCCTAGCACGTGCAGTAACTCCAGTTATTGAAAAAACTGTATCTTCTGCAATCACAGAGTCCTTCCAGGTTAGTAATTTACAAGAAATTTAGGGCTGGCTGATTTATGGGAAGGTCCATTGTTGAAAAAGAAAACTGATATCTCTTTTATACAGAGAGGAATTGGTGACAAAGCAGTCAATCAGCTTGAAAAATCTGTTAATTCAAAGCTTGAAACAACCATAGCCAGGCAAATTCAATCCCAATTTCAGACATCTGGCAGACAAGCCCTCCAGGTAAAAATTCGAGTATAACCTAGTTTTTTGATGCTTCATAAACGTATATTCAAATCTTGTGTATACAATCTTAACTGCATTATTGTTTATTGTAAATGCAGTCGTCTCTTATATATATTTCCTGCCATTTATAAATTTCAGGAAGGTCTTAGGTCAAGTCTGGAGTCCTCAGTCATACCTTCTTTTGAGAGGTCATGCAAAACCATGTTTGAGCAAGTAGACTCAACCTTCCAGAAAGGAATTGCTGAGCACGCGAGCGCAGCGCAGCAACGGTTTGACTCTGGACACTCCCAGCTTGCTCATACTCTGAGGGTATGATAGAAAATCGTCCTTCTTCCAGCTTTTTTGGCTAATCGTCCTTCTTCTAGTTATGGTAGCAAAATCCTTTTTTTATCCTCATGTTAAACATGCTGCTCGTTTTATACAGGAAACTATTAGTTCTGCATCATCAGTTACTCAAGCCCTAAATCGTGAATTAGCCGAGAGTCAAAGGAATCGCTTAGCTCTGGCAGCTGCTGGATCAAATCCCTTGGTCACTCAACTAAGTAACGGGCCTTTAGGTGCTCTTCTTGAAAAGGTTTGCACTTCTCTGGATCAAATTTCTTACCATGAATATGTTGTCTTTTTCTGTGTGTTTGACAAGTATATACGCTTACTGCAATGCATGTTGTTTCAGGTTGAAGCTCCTATGGACCCAACAACAGAACTATCAAGGTTGATATCTGAACGTAAGTACGAAGAATCTTTCACTTCAGCTCTACAAAGAAGCGATGTCTCCATAGTATCATGGCTTTGCTCACAGGTGAAATTTTTGTTTTGATTTCGTGCATCATAAGATCTCATAACCATCAGTTTTACATAACATCCCATGACACTGGTGTTGTGCCAATTTAGGTGGATCTTCGTGGACTACTGGCGATGAATCCGCTTCCGCTGAGCCAAGGCGTGCTTCTTTCACTGCTGCAGCAGCTAGCTTGTGACATCAGCATGGACACATCCCGTAAGCTAGGTTGGATGACTGATGTGGTTACAGCGATTAACCCATCAGACCAGATGATAGCGGTCCACGCTCGCCCAATCTTTGAACAAGTTTATCAGATTTTGCACCACCACCGTAATGCACCAGGCAGCGATGTCTCTGCCATCAGACTTATAATGCACGTCATCAACTCTTTGCTTATGAGCTGCAAATGACATCACTCTCTCTCTCTCTCTCTCTTTCTTAAGTCACATGCATAAAACATAGGAAACCTTTCTACTCTAGTTAGATTTTTTTTCCTCTTCATTTTGTTTGGGTTCTCTTTTGTTCAATTTCCTTTAAATGTAACATCTGGTTATTTCTACGTCTATAATATTCTCTTTTCTTCTCCCGAGTACCAAAGAATGAGTTTGCTAGGCTTGGTATTGGATCTGGAAAGTCCTGAGAAAACATGAAGATCATGTATGGGCAGGTTATTAGATTTTCTAAAGAAATTGATTTTCAAGTAACTTCAAGGTTACCTGCAGAATAGACAGATGAGTTTGAAGACATTATGGGAATCTGATTGGCAGTAAGCAAAGAAATTGAGCAATTTGCATAAAATATTTTTCTTTACTTTCGAGTTCAGTTATTCAATATTTGGATTGAATAAGTATTTGTTGTTGGGTTCGGTTGCATTTACTTATATGCAAGTGAGCTGACCATGAATCAGAATCCTTATCCTCTTCTTCTCTTTTGTTGGAGGTTCCCATTAAGAGCAAGAGAAGTTGGAAACAGTCTAAGCATAATAGTTAAAGTCAGGGTGAATCTCCGGAAACATAAATCAAGCCCAATAATTAAAATGAAGGAGGCCCAAACAAGTAAAGTCTGAATTTTTACAGAAGCGGTCTCATATTTTAATATATACACGATCATGACCCCATAACTTTTCGTGATCTGGATCATGCCCCAATTAATTTTTCATTAAAGAAGAAGGAAAAAAAGTTAAGTCTCCAAAAGTTCTCTACCTGTTCTCACTTTCAAGTCATCATCGTCTCTCTATTGTTGCTCTCTCTCTTTTTTTTATGTGACTTTCAGATCCGCCGAGTCTTCTTTTTGTGGAATCTTTTCAAGGAAGCTCAGTATTCAAAATACACCTCTCTTTTTTGATCGATTTCACAAACCCTAGCTTCGGCGATCTTAAATCTGCAAAACATCTATGGCGTCTTCTCCTGGTAATACTAACCCTCACAATCCTCCTCCGTTTGATCTCGGTATTCTCTTCAAACCTCCATCGAATCCTTATCCGCCGCCGCCGGCATCTTATCCTCCGCATACAGGTCCTTTTCTTCACAATCAGTACGATCAGCAGCACTACGCGCCGCCTGGTATCTCCGCTCAACCATCGCCGGTGACTCAGCAGCAACAGGATGTGTCTTCCTCTTCCACGGCGACTAACTTGCATCCACAGAGAACGCTATCTTATCCCACGCCACCTCTCAACCTACAATCGCCCCGTTCCAATCACAATCCCGGTACGCACATCCTCGCTCTCCTCAATAATAACAACGGAGTCCCGGTGGCTAACCAAGAGCCGTCGCATCAGCTCCCAGTAGTGAATCACAACGAGATCGCTCGCTCTTTTCCCGGCGGTTCAGGTCCTATTCGTGTTCCGAGCTGTAAACTGCCCAAGGGAAGGCGATTGATTGGTGAACACGCTGTGTACGATGTGGATGTGAGATTACAAGGTGAGATTCAGCCGCAGCTGGAGGTGACTCCGATTACCAAATACGGCTCGGATCCTCAGCTGGTAGTCGGTAGGCAAATCGCCGTGAACAAGGTCTACATTTGCTATGGATTGAAAGGAGGAAACATAAGGGTTCTCAATATAAACACAGCATTGAGGTCTCTGTTCCGTGGCCATTCACAGGTTCATCTACTTTTTCTCTGCAATTTGTGAATTACTTATTCAAGTGCCCATCAGCATAGTAAGTACTCATCTAGTTCTAACTACGTGTTTATATACAGAGAGTGACGGACATGGCTTTCTTTGCCGAGGATGTTGATATGTTGGCCAGGTAATGTTCTGGAATTGTCGTCTAATTAGGCTATGCTATTTGTACATATATGGAAGAGGGGCTCATTGAATTCTCATTTGACTTTGTGGTTTATACCTCGATTTTTCTGTTTCTTTTAAACAGTGTTAGTCTAGATGGAAAAGTTTTCGTGTGGAAAATTTCTGAAGGGTCTGAGGGAGAGGATCAGCCCCAAATAACTGGGAAGATAGTACTTGCTCTTCAGATACTAGGAGAGGAAGACACCAAACATCCACGCGTTTGTTGGCACTGCCACAAACAGGTAGTTGAACATATTTCTTTTGCTACGGGAAGTTGCATAAGATTCTTCTTAGAACAAGCTTCTGATTGCGTAAAATCTACTTTTTCAGGAAATTTTGGTAGTTTCAATTGGTAAACATGTGCTGCGAATTGATACTACAAAAGTTGGCAGAGGTGAAGTATTCTCTGCTGAGGCACCTCTCCAGTGTCCCCTTGATAAACTCATTGATGGTGTTCAGATTGTTGGTAAGCATGATGGAGAAGTTACAGATTTGTCAATGTGCCAATGGATGACCACGCGCCTGGTTTCTTCTTCGGTTGATGGCACGGTATGTGTTTGTTCTTATCATTCCTTTTCTTTAAACCTCTCTGAAATGAATCATTCCAAAGAACTCAAGTTTAAACTGATTATGTTGCAAACTGGGTGTAAACGTGACATTTTCGTAATTAGAACTAGCCAGCCTTGTTAGTTTGTGACATTCAATTACTATTCTAGCACATTTTAAATTTTTCAAGTTTTGCTAAGTTCCATTCCAGACTTGCACTGGGTATCATCTCTTGTCAACCAGCTAGTATTTTTGCAACAGCTAGTATTTTTGTAAGCGTGAGTCTTACTCCTTCTTTTCTTGTAACCACCGTACAGATTAAGATATGGCAAGATCGTAAGGCACAACCACTTGTAGTTTTGAGGCCTCATGATGGACATCCAGTCAGTTCAGCCACGTTTGTGACATCTCCTGAGAGACCTGATCACATCATACTTATCACGGGGGTAGTGTTCTTGAACCAATACTAGTGACTTTTCTCAGCTCTATCTAATGTTATTTGGCTCTGCTGTGTTGAGTTTACATTTATAGTTGTAGCTTTCCTCTCTGCTAAGTTGCTAACTCTGACAGTGTTGGCAATGTTCTTCTCATAGGGTCCTCTAAATCGAGAAATGAAAATCTGGGTCTCTGCTGGGGAAGAAGGGTGGCTTCTACCAGCTGATGCTGAAGCATGGAGGTGTACCCAGACTCTTGATTTGAAAAGTTCAACTGAGCCACGAGCTGAAGAGGCATTTTTTAACCAAGTCATAGCATTATCTGAAGCAGGCTTGCTTTTACTTGCAAACGCAAAAAGGAACGCTTTATATGCTGTGCATTTGGACTATGGTTCTTCTCCAGTTGGTACGCGGATGGATTACCTATCAGAGTTTACAGTCACTATGCCCATATTGAGTTTCATTGGGACAAATGATCCTCCAGAAGAACCCATTGTTAAGGTTTATTGTGTTCAGACTCTAGCAATCCAGCAGTATACTTTAGACTTATGCTTATGCTTGCCACCACCTATAGAAAATATGGGTTTGGAGAAGTCAGATTCTAGTGTATCGCGAGAGGCAAATATTGTTGAAGGCACGTCAGAACCATCTGGACTTAAGCCTACTGACTTACCTTCAGTTGATTCAGTGCCAAAACCTTCTATTCTAGTGAATAGATCGGAAAGTGCTAATAAGTTGAGTTTTCCATCAGCAGAAGCCACATCTCAAGCAATTGTTCCACCCAACGGTGAACCTAAAACTTCTGGTCTGCCATCTCAGACCAGTGGTGCAGGTTCTACATATGCTACTTCACCCCAACTTCCTCTAAGTCCCAGACTATCAAGTAAACTTTCTGGCTATCACACTCCTGTAGATGCTATTGAGCCAGTAATACCTCATCATGAGCTCGGTGGCAAAACACCTTCTGCTGATTATTCTGTTGATAGGCAAATGGATGCTGTTGGAGAAAGAAATTTGGACGTGTCATCTGTAGAAGAAAGCTCAAGAAGCAAGGACTCAAATGTTACGCCTGATGATGATGTGTCTGGGATGCGAAGCCCATCAGCTTTTTTCAAACACCCCACTCATCTTGTAACTCCTTCAGAGATATTGATGGGTGTTTCGTCTGCTGAAGCCTCAATTACTACTGAAGACAGGAGAGATAGGGATGCAAATATTCAGGACGTGAATAATGATGCAAGAGACTCCGAAGTTGAGGTGAAAGAAATAAGTGTAGCAAGGTCGACACAGAATGGTGAAATCAATGATCATGGTGAAACTGAGAATCGCACTTCAGAAAATAGAGAAAAAGTCTTCTGCTCACAGGCTTCAAATCTCAGCACCGATATGGCAAGAGACTGTTATCCAAGTACTGAGGGAACTTTCATTCCAGGGGAATCTAAGGCTTATGGACAACCTTTAAAGGCTGGAGATGAAATTGGTCCTGACTCGAGAGGTGTGTCTGCAAAGCTTCCTGAGTCGGGTTCATCTGGTGGGCTTTCACAGTTGCCAGGTACAACTAGCAAAGGGAAGAAGCAGAAGGCCAAAAATTCACAGGGTCCCGGTTTGTCATCTACATCCTCAAATGTTGCTAATCTGGCTGACTCCTTCATTGAGCAAAGTCAGAGCTTAAGTCATCCCATGACAGATTCACTTCCTCAGTTGTTAGCAATGCAAGAAACGATGAATCAGGTGACATATTGGTCTTGAAACTAATTAGAACCATATTTCTTATTTCTTAACAAAATTTGTTATTATACTGTTGCATCATTTCACTGATATACTATTAAACTTGTTGTTACCTTGATTTTGCACATAAGAGTTCCTTTCTTACATTCGTTTCAAATACACAACTGGCATTTATCGATGATAAGTTATTGCTTTTCATCTTAAGACGTACCTTGGCAATTTTGTTGTTGTTTTATTTGTTGACCTGAAACATTATTTCCTTTCCAGATAATGGCTTCACAGAAGGAGATGCAGAGACAACTATCAAATGCTACCACTGGCCCTATCGTAAAAGAAAGTAAAAGACTAGAAGTTGCGTTAGGGAAAATGATTGAGAAATCCAGCAAGTCAAATGCGGATGCTCTATGGGCCCGCTTCCAAGAGGAGACTGTTAAGAATGAAAAGGCATTGCGTGACCATGCACAGCAAATTGTGAATGCAACAACAAACTTCATGAGCAAGGAGTTAAATGCCATGTTTGAGAAAACGATAAAGAAGGAAGTTGCTGCAATTGGTCCAGCCCTTGCACGTTCAGTAATACCAGTTATTGAAAAATCTGTATCTTCTGCAATCACAGAGTCCTTTCAGGTTAGATTTTTACGAGAAATGTAGAGCTAATTCTTGAGAAGATTCATTGTTGTAAAAAGAAAACTGCTTTCTCTTTTGTACAGAGAGGACTTGGTGACAAAGCAGTCAATCAGCTTGACAAATCTGTTAATTTAAAGCTTGAAGCAACCATAGCTAGGCAAATTCAAGCCCAATTTCAAACCTCTGGCAAGCAAGCCCTCCAGGTAAATTTGAGTTAAACCTAGTTTTGTGGTACTTTGTAGAGGTGTCTGTAAGCCTCCAACTGCATCATAGTTTGACGGAAAGAGAGTTGATCTCTTATATATATTTCCTGCCATTAATAAACTTCAGGAAGGTCTTAGGTCAAGTGTGGAGTCCTCAGTCATACCTTCCTTTGAGAGGGCATGCAAGGCCATGTTTGACCAAATAGACTCAGCCTTCCAGAAAGGTATTGCTGAGCATACAAATGCAGCCCAGCAACGGTTTGACTCTGGACATTCCCAGCTTGCTCATACTTTAAGGGTACGATGGAGAATCATTCTTCTTACAGCTCTGTTATGGTTGTAAAATCCAGTCATTTCTTTCTTCTTTCTAAACCCGTTGCTCGTTTTACAGGAAACAATTACTTCTGCGTCGTCAGTTGCTCAAGCCTTAAGTCGTGAATTAGCCGAGAGCCAAAGGAATCTCTTAGCTCTCGCAGCTGCTGGAGCAAATTCTGGTGGGTCTAATTCCTTGGTTACTCAACTAAGTGGCGGACCTTTGGGTGCTCTTCTTGACAAGGTTTGCACATCTCTGGAACTAATCACTAACCCTGAATCTTGTATTAGTTTAGTGCATGAGCGTTGTTGTTACTCTTGGTGGATTGTAGCTGCTCAGCAATCATAGTTGAGTCAGTTAGCTAGGGAAGAGACTTAACAGCTTAAAAGGAAGTTTAGGCAGAAGAATTGAGCATTCTGGATTGGTCTAGGATCTAGCTTAGAAGAGTTTAGGGTGCTCACCCCTAGGGTTCTATCTTTGGTTGTTCTTGGCTTCAGTTTATTCTCTGTTCATCTATTGATTGAGTCAGAGAGCGTATAAAGAGAGAACAATTTCTGCTCTTATCCGAATCCTAATTTGATGTTATTTTCTGAAATTTTGACTATCACAACATGTCCTTTCAGGTTGAAGCACCTATGGACCCAACAACAGAACTATCAAGGTTGATATCTGAACGCAAGTACGAAGAATCTTTCACTTCGGCCCTACAGAGAAGCGATGTCTCTATAGTATCATGGCTTTGCTCACAGGTGAGGTTTTTGTTTGGATTTCGCGCATCATAAGATCTCATACATAATACAGAAGATCCCATGACATTGATTGTGCCAATTCAGGTGGATCTTCGTGGATTACTGGCAATGAATCCGCTACCGCTGAGCCAAGGCGTGCTTCTTTCACTGCTGCAGCAGCTAGCCTGCGACATCAGCAAGGACACATCCCGTAAGCTGGCTTGGATGACTGATGTGGTTGCAGCCATAAACCCATCAGACCAGATGATTGCGGTCCACGCTCGCCCAATCTTCGAACAGGTCTATCAGATTCTGCACCATCACCGCAACGCACCAGGCAGCGATGTCTCAGCCATCAGACTGATAATGCATGTCATAAACTCCATGCTTATGGGCTGCAAATGATATCTTTCTCTATCTTTCTATCTCTTCTTCTTGTTCGTTGGTTATATAAAACATAGGAATACAACAATCTCTCTACTCTTCTTTGTATCTCTCTACATTTGTTAGATTTTTATTTTTCTTTCATTTTTGGTTTGAATTTTGTTTTCCATCTTTCTTTTAAATGTAAAATCTGGTTGTTTTATATACGTCTACTGTTCCCACTTCTTCACAAGAGGATCTTATGTATAAGCCAAATCAATGTTTGGATTAAAGCTGTTATATTTAAAATGTATTTGTTTTAGATTCTTCACAGGTTGGTTGTCACTATTCATTTCTTCTTATTTGATAAAATATCTAATTAACAGTGTTTTATCATTATTGTTTTCTATTATTAGTTATAGCAAAGTATTCTCTTTTGTTTATGGTGAATAAAAATGTTGTCTATAAAGAAAGATTGAAGAGCAAAAACATCACTTTAGTAAAACAAACAGTCCCAAAATCTCAGAAACTGTGGGAGTGTATAACATCTTTCAAATTGCCAATAGTTTTAAATATTTGAAGATCAAATAAAATGATTTCTTACTTGATATAATTACTCGTTTGAAAAGTTTAGTAAAAGATCCAAAGAAAATTTATGAAGGCGAAAATGAAAATAATATATACATAATACATCTCTCCATTCATGACTTTCTTTATACATTGTTTAACTTCTTAAGTTAAAAAAACAAAACAAAAAAAGAGCGGATTAAACTTTTAATTTCCCCTTAATTTTCCAAAGATATGACAGGAAAAAAAAAAAATAATGAAAGGGGAAAAAATAAGTCAAAAAGTGCCCTTTCGCTGCTGCAAAATCATCGGAAGCGCTAAAAAGGCTTTCTAGATTTACCAACACTGATCCGTCTCCCATCTCCGGGTCGTCGTGTAAACCCGACCCGACCGACCCATAGCTCCAGCATGTACCCGTCTCCGTGGTGCTCTAAGCGTCGAATCGTAGATCGCTCTTGTAGTCGGATCCGCCAGTGTCGCGTAAGCTTTGTGAATCTCCATGAAATCTCGACCGTCCGATTCCGACGCATCTGGATGATATACTTTAGCTAAGCTCCGGTAGGCCGTCTTGATCTCCGTCAACGACGCCGTTTCATTCACTTTCAGTAATTCGTAGAGGCTAGAAACTCTCCGACGAACGGATTCCGTTACAGCTGGCTCGGCGTTAAGCGTCTGAGCTGAAGCCTTAAACGACGGAGCTCCTGTGGGAAATCTCGCGGTTCCGCTGTAGAATCTGGCTGTTTTCGGTTGAGGAAGAAGACAATTTCCCGGTGAAAATCTCCCGGCGGAGTAAACTAGGGTTCCGGCCATTTAAGCAATTAAAATAAAACTTGAGGGGCAAATTCGGAAGAAAGTGTTAAAATTTAGAGAAGCAGAGAGAGAGAGAGAGAAGTTCGTCGTAGGAGAAGTAGGATATGAATCACAAAGGAAAGAGTAGGATTGAGAAAGGCTTATATAAAGAGCTCCAAACCCCAAAAACTTTTTGTAATTTGGTATTTTAATGGAATAAATATAAAGGCTTATATATTTTATTTATTTTATTCGAATAAATCTTAATTGGTTTTAGAAACCGTGTTAGTTCATTTTAGCATATTATTTAATGGAAGAAAAAAAGAGGAAGAAGAATATCTATAGTTCTTCTCCTACTATTTTTTAAATAAAATTCTGTTTTAAACTAATTTAATAAAATTCACCATGTTTAAAAAAAAAATATCTAGTAAGCTAAGAAAAAGTCCTGTTTAATTACAAATCTGATCCAAAGAAAGTAATATAATACGTTCTACCGACATTTCCAATTTTAGGGTTTAAAGTAATAATAAAAACATAATGGGGTAAAACTGCAAATAAAGTAAAATAAAAGGAGCGAAAATGAAGGAAAAAAGAAAGGTAAAACCCGTGGGAGAGTAGTGTGGCAGTCACCTGTTTTGTGAAAATTCTATGGAAGGATGACGTGTCATCCAATTCAAAGATTCGCCTTCTAGAATCCCTTTCTTGGCTCAGCTCGCTATAAGATTTAATTGATGACATGTCATACAGCTGTAATTTATAAATATTTTTTTCTTACATCACTAGTATAACAAAATAATTAGTTTGTCGATATACACATTGTTTATATGCATTTGAAAACTAAGTACTAATTTAAAGGATGCAGTTTTTGAATAGTCAACTCTAAGTCTCTAACCATTAAATTAAAACTCTGTCAATATGGTTTATATGGTGGTACTTTAGATATTTAATTATGTCATCTCCACTAATTTACAATAGTGTTAGTTTCACTTATTCAAAAATAATTAGTTTGTCGATATAAACATTGTTTACATGTATTTGAAACTAATTATGAAACTAAATGATGCATTTTCTGAATAGTCAACTCTAACCATTTGTATTTAAAAACATCTCAACAGTGTTTATATGGTGGTATACTTTAGATATTTAATTATGTCATCTCCACTAATTTATAATAGTACTTGCTTGCAAAGAATATATTCGATTCTAAAAAAAAAAAGTGCTTCTAGAAGGAATCGTGGCCAACAGATCAACGGCTGAGAATTGTGAGAGAGAAGAAAACAATGTACCGTCAGATAAAAATCAGACAGAGAAAAGTAAACTCGTCGACTAATAAATATCAACGCCATTCTAGAAGCATTTTCTTGTCTTTATCTGCTGAATCATTTATTACGTACTTTAATAAATGTGTAGAAAAAGAGACCAATTAGAAAAATGTCTGTGGAGGACGTGGCGGGTAGGCCACGGAGATGGATAGGACTTCTAGAAGACAACGAACCCTTCAAGTCTACTAATCGATTTTGTGCGTGACACACTCCATTTTGTTTTGTTTTAAAGGTGGATTAGTCCAACGTTTTGTTATCATCTATATCATTCACAAATTTTGATTGGATTAGACCCCCAAATACATAATGTTTAAAAGAAACTATATCAACGCAAAAATAAAGGCTATGATTGGTAACCAATTTTAAAGCTGTACAGCTTTGACAGTTACCAATCACAAAAACTTTATGAAAAACGGTACACTATAAAAAAAAAAAAAACTGTTTTTTTGGACAAAAACAAAAATAAATTAATACGGTTACGGTTAAATACGGTTCGATTAAATACGGTTATAACGTTTACGGTTAAATACGGTTATAACGGTTATGGTTAAATACGGTTACGGTTACGGTTACAACGGTTACAGATAATTATGGTTATAGTTATTTGATGACTACAATACGGTTAATATCGGAGGCGAAATCTTACGAGTTACCTAACTTATTATAATACTTTTCATAAAATCAAAAAATATGTTACAAACCAAATTTTCTTCATTTCGAGCAAAATAACAGTATAACATATTTGTTTGAGAAAAAGACCATTTTTTATAACGTAGATTTTTTCATATGCAGTATCATTTAATTTTTTGAAAATCTTAATCTGAATATTCGATAATTTTTTTTGCATTATATGGAGTTACAATTATATTTTAAAGTTTTAACTATGCGGTTAATCATATGGTTAAATAACGGTTTTCATATGTTTACCGTTAATTAACGATTACGGTTAATATATTTTTTAACTGTAACTAATTATTTTTTACGGTTACGGTTTTTAACCATTTTATACGGTTACGGTTGAGAAACGGTCCGGTTACGGTACAACATATGGTTACGGTTAGCTTTTGGTCATGCCTAGTAAGCATGACCAAAAGCTAACCATAACCGTATTTTGGATCGTAACTGGACCGTTTTTCAACCGTAACTGTATAAAACGGTTAAAAACCATAACCATTCACCGTAAAACTAAATTAGTTACGGTTAAAAAATATACTAACCGTAACCGTTAATATACCGGAAACGTATCAAAACCGTTATTTAACAGTACGATTAGCCGCACGGTTAACCGTATTATTAACCGCATAATTAAACTTTATAAAATATAATTGTAACTATGTATAATGCAAAAAAAAATCTCGAATGTTCAGATAAAGATTTCCGAAAAAGTAAATGATACAGCCTATGAAAAAATCTCATTAGAAATAATTGTTTTTTTCTCAAACAATTATTTTGAAATGTTATATTGCTCATAATAAAAAAAATTTTATTTATTATAGGACTAGTAAATTCATATTATTATTCTAACAATAAAATATTGTTCATTCTATATAATCTTAATTTTCATATGTAATTATATACTAAAGTATATTTCTATATAATTTTTTCTTTCTTTCTAAATTCTTAATATTATTTATTAAGTGTACCGCTATGATGTTTCCAATCAGAATAAATTTTTAAAATTTGTTCTGCGTTATTTTTTTGTACAGCTTTCGTGTTTTATTCTTTTGTACAGCTTTGCACTATTCCCTAACAGCTAACAGCTCCAGCTAACCGCTCCAGCTAACAGCTAACAGCTTGTTACCAATCAGACCCAAAATAAATTTGACGGTTAAAACAATACCTTTAATCAAAGAAATAAGTACTTACCAAAATAGAAGTATTGTTTTATACTTTTATTGTTGCATAGAATAAATTTTTACGGTAACTTATGGCTTGTGAATTGTGACGAATAATATTTTTGGTAATTGGAGGAATGAAAATTAACTTTGATAGTAACTAATAGGTAAGCTTGGATTAAATATTTTTATTAGTAATGGATGAATGAAATTTAACTTTGTTAGGTACTTTAAAATGAATGTCTTGCAAGTTGCAATAAGCTTCTAGACTGTGTGGTTGATAGTAGTAATAACTGATAACTATATAGGAGTATTATATAAGCATGTAATCAATATTTTATTAGTAGTATTAGGGTGAATGAAATTTTACCTTTGTTAGTTAGTATTTTATAATGAGTGTGTCTAGCAATAATTAACGTTTATTATATTGTGATTTAATTAATTGTGTTGTTAAGGTGGGGACTACTACTTTGGTTGGGGGAACTTTGTGGGGGAGTCATGTTTTGTGTGTACTCCAAGTTCCACAAATACTAACTCTTCTTTGCTTCCTTTTTTATTAATATGCAAATCAACCAATTGTAGGTCGTTCACAAACCATCTACTAATATTTAAGTTTTCTTGCAATCTAATTTCAAAAGCATCCACTCAGTAATTTAAAAGGAGACAATTGTAAATTTCATTATCATCATAAAAAGCTCCACCACAAAAAAAAAAAAACCATAGGTCCACAAGCAACCAGCGTCAAACAAAAATCTTGTTGTTTTTTTTTTATGTTTTGTCTAATAAAATAGTTTATTGTCTTTATATGTGGATATTTAATTTGTTTGGCTTTATAGCAACTCTCATTATTTCGCAAGCTAATCACTATATTCTCGCGAAGTCATTGATCTGAGCCAATTCATGGTATGCTTATCAACAACTAAATGATCATTTTTCGATAAAGAATCAAACAACTACGTAGATAAACAAACTAATGACAATGCGTATGATAGAACGACAAGTCGGTATGAAGCTAACCTGGCCATGTGCTTAAGTTGAAAAGTATTTCTCAACTTCTTCTTATCAAATGATTTTTTATCATCGAATTATTTAAATTATACGAATCTGTATAAACCTATAATTAGAGGGGAATTGGGCTAATTGCTAGTGTGCCTAGATATATTGATTTGGGTCCATACCATGAGCACAGTCACCTTACGGCCCACTAAACTACCCATAGGCCCATAGCGCTTTCCACTCTTTAATACAATTTTAAGCGAATAGTATCTCTTTGTGATAATTGCAAAAAAAACTCAATTTACAGAAAATTTCGTGTAAATTATTAAAAAAGTCACTAAATCAAGTTATTAAGTATTAACACCATTATTTGCTTCGATCCATAAATTTCAAACCCAGACTCAGAATAATCCTAATAATAATTTTTTTTTTGACGGCAGTAAACCTAATAATTTTTTAGAAAATATTTAAGGTGTATAGCATAAAAAGCTAGTGGTTGTAACTCGATCACCAGTCTCGATTAAGAGGAAGAATTATCATCAACTCATGGAGCATCACAAATTGGTCGTAATATAGATAGTGGATACAAGCAATATTTGTCTTTTTATATATATTTATACGATAAAAAACATCAAACTATTGAATTGTTGTAAGGGATTTGTTCAAATTATTTGAAACCTATAGTACCAAATTAAATGATAAAAATGTTGTGGGTTAATAATTTACCGAAATTTACTGATATTAGGACAAAGAGGCTAGATTTATTGAGGGCAATGGGAACTGTCGTAAATGGGTATGAAACGGCGCCGTTATTTGGATTTCTTCATGTCTTCTTCCACATTCTAAGAAAGAAAAAAAAAGAAAAACTTTAATAATTTCTTCTTCAACTGATGAAACAACAATTCAACCAAGAACGAAACTTCCTCTCCCTCTCGCGCCCTACTGACATCTGAGATCTACCGATTCTATTCCAGATCACTC